TTTTTTTTTTTTTTTTTTTTTTTTTTTTTTTTTTTTTTTTGCTTTAATAGCGTGCTTCCTTCCCATCCTCGTGCCATGACACAGGCATCCAGCGCCGGCCCCTCGGGAGGGATCGCGGCACTTCCCACAAAGTTTGGGCACCGCAAGGCGGTGGTCGTGTTTTTCCCCCATCGCGGGCCCCCCCCCACCTACCTTTTTCCCTCTATCCCCTCTAACTCGGAAGGATGCTGGTGGCAAATCTCCCCCCCCTCCTACACCGGCCGTGACCCACCTGGCGGTGCCGCAGAGTGTGGCGGTGGGTGCTGGGGAGGGGAGGATGGGGGGGGGTCCCACGGGGCACCCACTGTCACGGCTGGGTGCCTCGCTGCCAGGTGAGAAGTTCCCCGGTGGGATGGGGAAGCGCTGTCGGAGCCGCCCAGGGTTCAACCGAGCGTAAAATGGAGGAGGGAAATGCCTGGGGGGTAGGTGAGGGGTGTCGTGCACCGGTGGCCCCTCTTGGGTGACGGCTGCAGGCGGCGCCGGGACCGCGTCCCTACGGGCAGCGCAGGTGTTGCGATGCAGAGCTGAGCCGGGGCCGCGGGTCTGGCCGTGCTGAAAAGCACCGCAGCGGCGCTTTTGGGGTACAGGTGTGCTCCCGAGGAGTTGCCGAATGCCGACAGCCGCTCGATGTGACGTTTGAGGGCTTTAAGGAGCAGCGGCTTGCTGCGGTGTGCCGGTGTCACTGATCGACGCTGCGGGGAACGAGAGGCACCCCGAGGTGCGGGCGGCCGCGGGCCGTCACTGCCCAGCGAAGGGCTGCGGATGGGGAGGTCGGGCGCAGTCGGGAAGCCGTGCAGCCCCGGCAGCCCTCTGGGTGCCGCGGTGGATCTTTCACGAACTGCATCCATCCCGCTGTGCTGGAACGCAGCTGATCGCTGGGTTTTGCTGATGGGAACGGCTCAACCCGGTGCTGAGCGGAGAGTTTCTGGTCCTTGGTTCAAAGGGCGCGGGTAGAAATGGTCCCTCTGGGACTGTCGGGGGAGGGACTTCAGCCCAACTCCTGGATTTAATTCCTCAGCAGCACGGGGACTGCCTAGCAGCTCCGGCCAGCTGCTCAGCCGTGCCTTGGTAAGCAAAACTCATCTCGAGCTGATGCCTGGTTTGTTCTCTCCTCTTTTCCAGATCAAAAATGACTGTCAAAGCTGTAAAAATGCCGTGCACCACTCCAAATGTTTATACTAAAGTGCCTGACGGAGGATGGGGCTGGGCAATTGCTGTGGCTTTCTTCTTTGTGGAAGCTCTTACATATGGCGTTATAAAATCATTTGGAGTTTTCTTCAACGACCTGATGGAAAGCTTTGATGAAACCAACAGCAGGATATCGTGGATAATATCCATCTGTGTGTTTGTGCAGACTTTCACAGGTAAGAGTAAAGGGCAAGAGCCAGAAGGTGCAGTTCTGCTGCTGACTCAGCACGTGGAGGCCAGGGATCAGGGACTTGTGTCCCAATGGCTCCATGTTAAATTGCAGCCTCCAGGCTTTGTGGCTGTTTTCTGAGACACAACCAAATGGCTGTCCCAGCCCCCTGGTCTCCCTGAGCTACAGTTCCTGCATGGCACAAGGACGTGGCCCTTGGCCCAGCTGCTCAGCTCTCAAAGGAGACGAAACTCTGACAACAGAACACCAAAACCTGACTCAGTGGTGGAAAAAGATTAAAATATAACCCGAGCTTCACCAAAACCCATTTGCTCCTGCTGGTTTGTTCCAGGCTGTCCACCCATGCTGGTTCTTATCCCACTGCCACGAGCTGCGTGCTGCTGCAGGAGCGATGCTCCGCTATGCGAGCAGATGGGGAGGTGTCACATGGAGGGGATGGGGGTACCTGCAGGAGGTGGCTGGTGGTGGAGCTGCTGGTTGTGTCGTTGCTGACCTGTGCTGACCGCAGCTCTCTTCCCATCCAGCTCCTCTGTCGACGGTGCTCAGCAACCGCTTCGGTCACCGCTTTGTCGTGATGGCTGGAGGGGTGCTGGTCAGCACGGGCATGATCACAGCCTCCTTTGCCCACAGTGTCGTTCACATGTACATCACCATCGGCATCATTTCTGGTGAGTTCCCCTCTTCTCAGACCTGCCATACGCTTGGCTTGCTCCCGCTGCTTCCAGCGAGCTCTGCTGGGGAACGCTGCCACGCTCGGGCAGGAGCTGTGACTGCTGGGCTCAGAGGAACGCCCTCCGTGGGATCACGTTCTCTCTTCTCCTTTTTCTCCCTGTTATTTTTCCCTTGTTCCCATCTGGCCTGGGTGTCCTGCTCACATCTGCTGTCAGTCAGCTTGCCTCGCTTACGGGAGCGATTGCTACAGGCTGAGTCCTTGAGCAGATGGGGTCCTCCAAGTGACGCTGCTGGCTGTTTGGGAACAGGTTTGGGGTTTTGGGCGTTTTGTTTTTTCTTGGGTTTTGCTTTTGTTATTTTTCTCTCTTCCAATTTAAAAAAAAATAACATTCTGGTTTCCCCAATGATTTTTTTTCCAGGGTGACTTGCTGAGTTGGCCGAAATGATACTGTGTAATCTCGCCATGGGGAAAGCTGACTTAACGTGTTCTCGCATCGGTGTTTCCCCCTCCCTTACTTGTTGTTATGGCAATTTTTGGCATTTATTCACAGGCCTCGGGTACTGCCTCTCTTTCCTCCCGACTGTCACCATTTTATCACAGTATTTTGACAAAAGACGTTCGCTGGTCACAGCAGTGGCATCTACAGGGGAATGTTTTGCTGTCTTCCTCTTTGCACCAGGTACAGTGCCGGAACACCACCAATTCATGCATGCCTAAAGCACAGCACTACTCTGATCTTTCTCCCAACAAAACAGTGCATGCTGGCCTCCCCATGAGCTGCTGCAGCCCCTGGGTGGTTCTCATGTACTCATGTCCTGCAGGCAGGGTTGCAAGTAATCCTGCAGAGCTGAGAACCATGTCTGACACCCTTTCCTGTCCCAAGGAGCTGTGCTGCAGGATACCCACATCCCCAGCATAGGGGACACAGCGGGGAGCTCGCAGCTGTCTTAGGCCACAGCAGGGAGAGGGGAAGAGGCACAGCCAGGTGCTGGCAAGGGTTGGGAAAAGGGCTGAGCTCACCCAGCATCACCAGGCAGAATAGGACATGCTACACTGATACACAACCTGCTGCTTCCTTATATAGATCTTGCAGGCTAAAAATAAGACCGAGAAACTTCAGCTATTTAAAACATAAGGCAGTACAAATCACAAGCCCACTAACCTTTAGGAGCAGTCCTAAGCACAGGAAAGTGACACGTCCCCATCACCACCTGCTCCCCACCAGCGTGTCACAGCTTCAGAAGTCATTTCCCCCCCCCTTCTGATGGGTTTCTGATGTGCATGCTTGCTTCCAGCTAATACCCATCACAAAGCTTAGCTGATTGCAGATGAAGGCTTGCAATTAAGCAGTTACATGCACCTTAGAGTGAGGCTAACAGGCTTCCTCTAGTAGCTGGTTTCAGGGTGGGGTCAGCTGGAAGAGGAAACTCAAATGTTGAGTTCACTTTCATTCACTAAAAATAGCACCACCTCTGTCCTTGCGCATCCCCAGCTAGCTGGGACCTCAGGAGATAGCCTCAGCCCATTGACAACCCAGGAGATGTTTGGAGTTGGAAGGGACCCTTAAAAGTCATCTAGTCCAACTCCCCTGCAATGACCAGGGACATCTACAGCTCAGTCAGGTTGCTCAGAGCCTTCCTTAGCTGTAAACTCAAATAGCTTCTTGGTGCAACTGCAGGGATTTCTAACGATGCTCTCTTTTTCTGCTTTCTTTCCTCAGTAAACACCCATTTGAAGGAGCAGATCGGCTGGAGATACAGCCTCCTTTTTGTTGGGGCACTGCAGCTGAGCATTGTCATCTGTGGATCGCTGCTGCGACCCATGATAATCAGAGAGCAAGAAGAAGCAGCAGTGAAGGCGCAGCCTCCAGAAGAGCCTGCAGAGACAAAGTACATGCTTGAAAACGAGCAAACACGCACCTCAATAGAGTCCATTGACTCAGGAGTAGAAATAACTACCTCACCCAAAAATGTGCCTGGAAACACCAAAGCAGAGCCGAAAAGTGACGAACCAAAGGACCATGTACAGATAATTGTTGAAAATAACAGCACCCCTACAGAACCAAAAACCAAACTACTGGACTTCTCTGTGATGAGAGACTATAGCTTTATCTGTTATGCATTCTTTGGCCTGTTTGCTACCCTGGGATTCTTCGCTCCCTCCCTGTATGTCATTCCCCTGAGCCGCAGCCTTGGCATCAGCAAAGACCATTCTGCATACATACTGTCTGCAATGGCAATTGCAGAGGTCTTGGGCAGAATTTCAGCTGGCTGGGTGCTCAACAAAGAGCCTATCCGCAAGATCCACATCGAACTCATCTGTGTCGTTCTGCTGTCCGTAGCACTGTTTGCCTTCCCTTTTGCCTCTGAATTCTGGGGGTTGATGACATGTAGCATATTTTTTGGGTTCATGCTCGGAACAGTAGCGGGCACACACATCCCACTGCTGGCAGAAGATGACGTGGTTGGCATTGCAAGAATGTCTTCTGCAGCTGGAGTCTATGTCTTCATTCAGAGCTTCTCTGGGTTGGCTGGGCCACCCCTTGCAGGTAACACTTTCATTGTGGGGTGGTTTTTTTGTGTGTGTTTGACAGATATTGGTGCTGGCTCATCTAGAAAGCTTTCTGCCAGCCCTAATCATAGAACTGCCCTAAAGACCTGCAGCTAGCACGAGGAGACTCAGAGCCACAAGGCTGCTGCAATGCAGCTCTGCAGAGTCCCACAGATGAGGCAGTCTCCACTGAGGAACCTCAGAGCAGAGAAAAATACTGCAGTGCAACCCTGATCCTGTCAGGCACCTACTGCCAGCATCACTTCAGGCTGTACTGAATGGTAGAAGCACACGACTTGCCCTGTCCATGTTTTTGCCATACTCAGCCAAAAGACAGACTCTCTTGTAAGACAGAGATGCCTAAAGTATTGCAGTCCTAGAGTGACTGCAGTGACTAATGCTCTGTCTTGCCTAGCAGTGACTTGCAGAACACATTTTTACTGCTAATTTTAAAGTAACATCTATTTGTCATTAAGCGTCCTTTCCTTGCAAATTATGATGCTGTGGTACCTGGATTAGAAGCGCTATGGGAGGGATGGGCAAGAGCGTGGGGGCAGGCTGTGGCTAACTGACTTATTTTCTGTAGGTGTCATAGTGGACAGAACACAAAACTACAGCTCAGCCTTCTACTCCTGTGCTGCTGGCACGGTCATGGGTGCTGTGTTTCTGTCCTTGGTGAGACCGTGCAAGGTTGGGATGTGCCACCAGCAGCCACGGGGCGCAGAGGGAAGCGTGGTGGAAGGCACACAGGACTCACCAGAGGACTTCATAGACATGGACATTGGGAAGGCAGATCATTCAGGAAAAGGCTCTGACAGCGTGGCTTAAAAACCACTCCTCTACCAAGCATCCTTGGTGTAAGACTACGGAAAATGTCAACTCTGCTCCACATTTTAAAACTACATTCTGAAGGGAATGTGAAATTTTAAATGTGAACAGAACAGTTGCTATCAACAACTTTTTTTTTTTTTTATTCTTAGAAAAAACTTTTTTTAAAACCAACTGAAAGCTCCATAGAAAGCCACAAAAGAGCAGCTCCTGCCTAGCATGAAGATGTGATGCACACTCCTGCTTTCCAGTACCACCTGTAGCTGAAGTCTTGACCAATTCCATGTGAAAAACTGAAGAGCAGAACCAGCCCATGCAGCTCAAGCCAGCGGAGCAGTCTGACTGTCTCCATCCCATGCTGCAAGCCCTGTGCAGTCCAGAAACCAATTACACTAACGAGAGAAGAGTATTTCATGCAATACCAGTAGCCAACTGCATTTTCTTGCAGAAGAATATGAACTGATGTTTCAGATTTGAGGAGGAGGCCAGGCTGGATAGCGGCTTAAAACATTGCAATTATTCTTCTAATTAACTTGAATGTCACAAATGCTGGGAAATTGGAGGTTCCATATGTCTTTATGGCCAGTTATTACTGCACATGTATCACAATAAGGTCATTTTTCTTCTCCTGATTGATTTTTTTTTTTTTTTTTTTTCTTAACTATTTTCTATTCGTTTTCTGTTTATAATTTAACTATTTATTAATTTATTCTGATAGTTAAAGGACATTATTTTAAATAACTGGAGAGGAAAAATTATCTTCTGCATAGTGGGAAGCTGTCTTTACGTTAGTCTCTTCAATACCTATATTGTATTGCTCGCTTGTGAAATCATTAGGAAACTTAATTTTACAGCGTAGTTGTTTTTAATAGGTAGCTCTTAGGTAGCCCAATTATTTAAAAGATGACGATGGATAATAATAATAAACTACAGATTCAGCATCTCTTTCTGTAAGGCCTCAGCTGCTGGCAGCAGATCTGGCTGCGCTGCCACGACCAGATCGCTGCGCAGGGAAGATCCGGCCCAGCATGTCTTCAGCCATGTCTGAATGTACCCCAAAATTTCCCCTCTAGGGGCACAGAGCTCTGTGCCACATCACTGAGCAAAGGCAGGTTGGTGCCAGCAGCGCCCCTTCCTCCCACACTCAGTGAGAGGCTCTTTGCTGCTGCCTTCAGGGAGAAACGAACTGGAGCCCGTGTGCATTTAATCTGTGAAAGGGAGTGCGAGACAAAGTAGTGGCTGTTCATGTAGTCTTAGTGGGAGAGGCTCCCGCTCACGGTGACACAAGCTTGCTTACCCCACCTATATGCATCTTAATGCCTCTAGGCAACTCAGGGGGATCGATAAAACAAGTCTGCTTCGGTTCGATGCTTTGGAAAAAAAAGCATTTCTGTGCATTTAAGTGGAAGTGGCATCATGCATTAACTGCTACACTGACACGTCTGTGCGTTCTACCAGCCATAGATATGTGGGACAATCTGTTAAACTCCTCTTTGGGAAGGTGCTTGATTTGTTTTTCTGTCTTAGATGTCCAAAAATGAGACAGGCACTCGTGCAACCAGTTGGCTGCAGCAGCCCATTGCCATTGCCTGGCAGCTGTCACGTCCACGCTGCATCTCGTGTCCTTTCTGTGCCTCAGCACTTTATCATCCCCAGCAGAACCTCACGCCAAGGACTGGAAGACCCCTCACAGAGGACTCATGCATTGTGAGTCAGTGAGTCAATGATCAAATGTGTCGCGTTTCGATGTGCTTTTATTTATTGTTAATTTATGATACTTCAAGCACGTTGGTAAATGTTCTGTAGCCTATAATTGTAAGGTTATTGAAGTCTTTGTAATACGAGACCTCACTACAGCACTTTGCTATTACAACTCTGCTTGAAAGTGGAATAAGGCCTCCAGGTTCTGTGTGTGTGTGTGGAAGCTCTCCGTTCTGCAGATTTACGAGGTTCTACTGTATTATTATTATTGTTTGTTTGTTTGTTTGTTTTTTACAACCGTTTCCAATACAGCTCAAATCCTACATTTGTCACTGACCTCACAGCACGTTTCTGTCCTGGCTCCAGCAGGGCAGCACGGCTGTGCCGGCCCAGCAGGTGCCAACGAGCTCAAAGCAGGATTTACTGATTTGTTTGTAATGTATCTACTGGTCTCTGGAAATACTCTAAACACTGAGTTTTTTGCAATAAACTTATTTGTTTTTTTTTAACCTCTTTTTTTTTTTTCCTTCATTTTGAATTCATTTTGAACCTCCCTCTCCCCCCAGGGCTGCTGCTGCTTCCCCTACCAGGAGGGCTGTGCTGCTGCACATCATTCCTGGGGCTGAAGCAGTGTGTCTGCCCTACAGCTTGGGCAATCCCATGTTCTATATGAGCTGCCTGGAAGCTGGTAGCTTAGTGCTGACCTCAAGGGTACTCTTGTCAACCCTTATAGCACAGGCCTGATTGTAAGCAGCCGCTCCTGCTGCTGCTGCTGGGTGTGAGTGGGAATTGAATTGGTGCTACTCAGAGAGGTGATCTGCATGTCTTCAAGAAGCAGGCAATCATGTCATTATTATATCATCTCTCTCAACTGCAGAATGCTTTCTACTTGCCAGGCTGGACAGCTTGTGTATCAGAAACCAAGCTAAAAAACTCCAGGGTGGTTGCACTAAGTGACAATTTTCTCCCCCTCAAACCTCACTTCTCTTTATACCAGTTGAGATTATGTCCTCCCTCATTTAGTCTGTAGCTCCCAGAACCGCCAACCCCTGCAAAGAGCTCTACAGCCATGCTGCATCATTTCAAATATGAGTGCATATATTCAATTTGCAAATTAACTACTTGCTGAAAGACTCATCACACCACTGATACACACTAATTGCAATTTGCTTTCATTCCAGTTGCAAAAGTTCTAGAGCAGAGATGATAATATGTGCAAGCAGAGCAGACGGCACAAATACCAGAGTGCCAGGAAGATCATCAGTCTCCAGATCTGACTCTGGCTCGTTTACAGTAGTGAACAAACATTATTTGCAACAACTTCCACAAAAGAACAACAGAAGAGCTTTACAAAGGCTGCTCTTAGGTATAAGAGCATGTAAAGCTGTAACACTATCACGTCTCCCACCACACAATTTTGAGTAATTCTTCCCACCTGGTTTAAATTAATGGCCCATGACCTCCTCTGTTATCCTGGTCTGAAGGCATTAATGCCAGAATAAAATAGAGTAAAAACACTTCTGCTTAGTAACTGTATATCCAATTTGAACCAGTAAATAGGAGGACAGCGTGGGAGAGAAGAGCTCACTTCTGCAAGCCTCCACACTCCCTTCAGAAGGGATTGTATAAGCTCTGCAGTCATCTCGCCAACGAGGGCAATGCCAACCAGATGTAAGCACAGGAAATTACACAAGGGCAGCTTGCAGAGGGCAAAAAATGCCAGCCATAGGTGTCTGTCCATCCTAAAGCAGAAAGCTGTCTTGTTCCTTGTTTGGGGGAATAGAGGTCTTTAAAAAGAAAGCCCCTCTCTTTTTTTTCCCCCATTGAAAACTAAAAGGAACAGCAACCTGTTGGCCTTTGTCACTTGCTTTAGATGAGCTAACATCAGGTACTCAGAGGGAAAAATGTCTTTAAAAACAGCTAAACTGGTTTGGGGAGGAAAAAAAAAAAGTGAAGTAGGTGCTTACAAAACAACACAAGTGTTTTAATGATTCCCTTCAGATGTTAGTTGTTAGCATGTGAGATCATTGTTTTCCAGCTGCCCATAGTAAACATGACCTGAATTTTCACACTGATGCAAGCACAAAAAGCAATCCTTCTCCCTCCTTAGAGCTCACCCTGAAGATGTCTCAGAGTTCAGTTTTAGAGAGGCTCAAGTAACTGCTGGCTTTGTTTAAAGAGCAACAAAGAGAAAAGCACTGTTTGCAGAGGAATTACTTTCTACTTGGTGACCAGTGGGTAACACCGAAAGGCAGAAACCCTCCTTTTGCACTGGAACACCACACCAAGAGCACGTGTTTCCCTTTGGCCAGAGATGCTTTGCACAGAAATCTGCCCGCTGCCCATCAGCACTGTGAGCACAGACCCACAGGGGCCTGGGGACTCTGGGCTGGAGAGGGAACGGTTCCCTTTAGTGCAGTGCTGCTGCAGGAGGCATCCAAAGATGCTCTCAATTAAAGAACCCTGTTGTCAGCTGAAGTTTATGTACCTCCTATGGGTCGAGGCAAACTCCGGGGTTCCTGGCAGAGATATACAGAGTTTTTCCCTCCCCACTGCACTCACACAGACTTTTATTTGCAAGATGTGCAAACCCATAGCCTACGCTAGCATAAAGCTCTTTTTTTTTTTTTTTTTTTTCCCTGCAAATTGCAGCAAGTCATGCAATAAATCAAATACAACCCCCCACCCTCTTTCCTACAGCAGTTGTCAAGCCCCAGTTACGACAATTTGTGGTAAAATATTACTCACCAGCATTTTGGCCTGTGTGAGAAGCTCTGCCTCTGTAAAGACAGCCCCCTAAATCACTGCTTTGTCACAGAAGCCACAAGCGTAACCAAAAGACTTATTACACGCAGACATTATGAGAAGAAGGCCAACAAGACAATAGTTCCCCCTGCTTCCTTTTTGTCAAAGCTTTCACTAATGCTGTGAATGGCTTTTGCTCCTTCAGCTGCTGCTGGCTGCTTGCTGTGGGCTGCCCAGCCCTTGGGCACTGTGAGCATTGCTGGGAGCTCGTGCCAGAGCCTTGCACCCCTCACCACGAACCTTTGCTTTGAGCACCACAACAAGTTAGCTGAGGGCACGTGAAGTTATCGCAACCTGCACAGCAAGGCTGCTTTGCATTTGGCCACTGATGTCTCTCCCGTGCTGAGGACTCCACATTTGGATGCAGTGCTCCAGGTGAGAGCTCACCAACATGGAGATGATCTGCTGCAGAATGATCCAAAGACCTGGAATAACCAGAGAAATTACAGCCATGGTTTGTCTAAGGACTGTGGGAGTTGGGCACAGGGAACCAACCCCAGCAGGGAGAGGGGTTTTGGTTCTCACTGCTCCCCATGCAATGCTGCTGCTGGAGCAAAGCACTCTCCAGCTCTGCCCTGGGCACTGAGCAGGTGCCCCAACCCCAGCACAGCCCCTGCTTATCCCCATTGTGTGCAATGGGGGAAGGTTTCCTGAGGTGGGGTTACTGTAAATTGATGACTAAGTAACACAGGGATGGGTGCCCAGGTCACCTGAAGAATACACAGACATTTCAGTCACCTCTGATCCATTTCTGGTCCATTTCTGATCCATTTTTGTCCCTTGGACAAATCCACTGCTGAGGCCAGTTTGAGTTTCAGCCACTTCCAGACACAACATTTGAGCAAAGTCACTTAAAACCTTCCCCTCGCATGCCTGCTTTTTCTGTTGGTGTCAGCACACCCTGGGCACACACCCTGGCTGCAGACAGCAGTGCTCTGGGGACACCTCAGTTCTCATGGGCACTGTTATTCATGGCTCAGCACTGGCAGCCAGGAGCTAGCACAGTAAATGCTGCACTCTGCGTTCTCATAGAAAGCCAGCAGCAGGTGTAAGGAAAGAGACTGCTTGGTCTGCACAGAGAGGAGAGCAGGGCAGGATCCAGCAGCAGCAAAGACTGGGCTGAAGTTGGGGTGCACCCACAGCAGGACTCCTCTGCTCTACTAAGGCAGCTGCGTGCTACAAGCCAGCTTTTGCTGAACTGTGCATCGTGCATGCCAAGAAACTTGGCATTTGGCAACACATGTGGAGCAGGAGGACCATATCCTGCTAGGATCTGAGCACTCTGCCCCTTCCCAAACACTGCAAGGCTCCCTGACTGCTGGGAAACATCCCTCACCCTCCTCCTGCAATAGCCCATGCCTTCAGGCTTTGAGCTCGCCCTCACCACAACACATTAGTCACCAAAATGCTGCCTGCACTTGTATCTCCCTCCCTCATGCACCCCAGGCTTTATCAACAACAGCTTATCAGTAGCAGCCACTCAGAGGAGCAGCCCCACGGCACTATCGGTGACGTGAGGCAGGGCTGGATCACTGCTGTCAGCTGGTCTCACCAGGCAGATAGATCAGGCTGGTTTTGTGCCTCCAGGAAAACCCAGACCCCTCCCATGCATCATCAGAAAGACCCAGAAACAAAACCCACGCACTCTCTGCACAGAGCTGCCTGCCAGACTTCAGTCCTGCTGGCCTCGGAGTCCAACAGGAGCACTGCACACCTCTGTGAGCTCAAAAGCTCTGAGTGCAGCAATTCTGCAACAGCAAAACTCCCCCCATGTCCACCTGCAGGGGAACCACTTGGTCCTTGCAAGACTTTCACTCCTTCAGTGACTCAGCACAAGTCCCCATGCTCTGCCAGAAGTAAAACACATTAAATAATCAGTACCTGGAAAGACAGAGCCTGCAGAGTCTCTCCCATTCGCAGGCTGTTTTTCTCCTGCCCCAGCTGGTGAGGAGTCAGAGCCCTGCATGGCTTCTTTCAATATCACAATTGAGAGCCCTCAGAAGAGAACTTGGAAACAAACTCCCTTTACAATTAGCAGAAGTCCTGGCCCAAACACATCACCTCAATATTTAAATACAAAACCACGTTCAATCTTTGGTTTGTCAAAAGTTTTCATTGAAGCTGCCCATATCCTTCCCAGATCTACAGCGTTAGCTTCACACCTCCACGATTTTTCTTCCATCTATTTTGCACAGCCTTGAATAAGACAGGAGTTTTCAAGAATTTCTTCATGCGTTTAAGATCAGGGGTGTATCTGAAGGAAGCAGGGCTGGCTCTTCTAAAGCTAGATACAGCTAACCAAGTCCAGCCAGTATTTCTTTGTCACCAATGCATGTGCCTGTAGTTCTGACCCAATTCTGCAAGCTGCTCTGCTGGTGAAATCTGACAGTGGCAGCACTTAGGAATGTACCTGTACACTTGGAAGTGCTTCTTGGACTGTACTCTTTAAGGACCAGACCTTGCAGCCCAACCTGCATGTTGTACTTCTGGGGACAACGGCGTCTTCTGTGCAAAAGCAGGAGCCAAACTGGTCAGCTAACAGTGTGTGTAAAGCAATAACTGAACATAAATGGTATATTTTTATAGGGTTAATTTGTTTCTGTGTAAAAACAATAACAATAAACATCAGAATGTGTGTTTCTATTTCAAAATGCTATTTATATACAGAGATGCAATTTATTGTGTGCTTTCTCATTGGCAGAAT